ACTCTGCTTCTCCCTCTGACTTCTCCCCTCTCATGCCCACCCTCTCACTCATTCTTTCTCTCTCTCTCACAAATAAATAAATAAAATCTTAAAAAAGAAAAGACAGAAGACAACTTATGAAGGAAGGATATGGCACCAAAGAATGGACAGGGAAATGGGAGGGAGGGACACACGTGGCTTAAAGCAAACCCTCCAGCCCCACTTAAAAAATTTTTTTTAATTTCTAAATTTAAAGTACCAACCCTGCTCCTGGGTGGGGAGCAGCCCTCTAAGGGGATGGTCACGTGTCTGCTCTGCCTGTTTCCTCCCACCCCCATGCCTCACGCTCCACCTCTCCTGCCACTACTCTCAGCAGAATGAGGAGGGGGATCAGAGGGGGGTGCTAGTGTCCCCCTCAAATCACAGTTTGGAACTCTAATCCCCAGTGTGCTGGAATTAGGAGGTGGGGCCTTTGGGAGGTGCCCAGGTCCAGAGCACCCCCACAGACAGGATTAGTGCCCTTCTCAAAGAGACCTCACCGAGCTCCGCCACCGCTTCCCCTACATGAGGACACAGCGAGAAGTCCGCAATGTGGAAGAGAGTCCTTACCACTGGGCCGTCCAGCCTCCAGACCTGGGAGCAGTACATTTCCGCTGTTTCCAAAGCCCCTGGTCTGGGATGCTTTGTCACAGCAGCCCCAACAGGCCCAGACGGGTGGCCTGGCCCCGAAGGGCCTCGGCTGATTGGACATTGATAACAGTCCCTGCCCGCCTTTGTAGTTACTCCCACTGATCAGCAAGGTCCAGTGCAGCTGATTCTTATTATCCACGCGGTTACATTCTAGAAAGGTGTTACGGACACCGAATTAGCTAGTTCTGAACCACTGTCCCCAGGAGTTATGCTGGCTTGGGTTCCTGCAAGTTTCTGGTCACAGCTTTTTTGTCAACGGGTCACCACGTAACCCGGTGTTACGTGCATTTCTGTGTGGAAACGCCTAATTTACTGGACATCATTGAGTTCACAGCCAACAGCATCGGCACCCCTTATGCCCAGGTGCTGCTTATCTAGCAGGAGTCGCCCCTACAGAAGGCACACCACAGCCTTCCTGAAATCAAAATGCACTCCATAGCATTTCAGCAACTCCACTTGGGGGCCACTGTAAGCAGCAAAACCATGAACGAAAAGCACAACGTGATAAAAACCGTGGCAGTAAATATACCAGGAGAGGACCCTTGTTTCTGGCACGAGAGCTGGAATAAGACAGAGCCTCCTGCTCTACCTCAGCTGGGCACACGACCCCCCAGGCACCCCCGAGACCCTCACTGCTCTGTGCACGCTCCCAGAAGGCCACAAGAGAGCCATGAGCACTGATCGCGGGGTCACAAACAAACCTCAGTGAGAGGCAAATTCACGAAGACAGAAACAACGAATAAGAAGTATTTTGTGGAAGCAGCCAGTGACCAAAGCCAGCCCAATCCCTACTCCCGTCAGCACGGCCCTTTTTCTATTAATTTCCAGTAAAATCCAGACAATGCACCTCTGGACAAATGTTCAGTAATGCTGGCCAGGCACCAAAGTCGCTCACTGGACTCTACCTGAATCTGTCCACTGGGAGATGAAGCTAGAAAGCCAGGCACGTTCTCAGCATTGAGAAAATCTGTACTTAACCCCGGTTCCTTCCTGCATCCTGTAATCCCTCTCGGTCATGGTCCAAGGTGACACAGCTTCTCTACAATGCATCACCTTCCTTGGACTTGAATGAGGCCAGTGGAACCCCAGGCGTCATGGAAGGAGGAAACGGGCTCTACCGGCAGCCAGGGACGTTCAGAACACAGGCTTGGCAGACACGCTGAATCCGCCTCAGATCCCAGCGGGGCCGCTCACCAGCGCCGTGCCCTTGAACACACCAGTGTGACTGAGCCTCGGTCGGCCCCGATGTCAAAGGGCAAAGAGGTCCAGGACAGAACCCCTCACGTCCTAGGGATGTTTGTTGGAGGACTTACAGGGACACTCCATGTGAAGTGCTCCATAAGGCGCCTGGAGCAAAGGAGGCTGCCTTGCACGCAAGCTTTAAGAGCAGCCCTCACTGGAGGGTCTGGGACACATCACGTAAAGTACAGCCTAAGGGCTGGGAGGGGACTTTGGAAACACTGACCAAGACCCAAGGACACTTTAGTTCTTCTTGGAGCCACAGAGCTGCCCAGCCAAGTCTTCCTGCATCCAATGCTCAGAAAGCTTCCCCCTCGCCTCTCTGGGTCCCTCCGTAAAATGGGAGGATGAGGATGATCTCAGCCCCCTTCCAGGCTTCACTAAGGGAGGGCGTGACCCACCAGCTTCCCAGGTCGGGGTCAAATGGGAGCAACCTGTTCACCATGGTTTCCCTAGTGCCATGGAACACTGCAAACGGGGAGCTGTTTTAGTGATACAAACATAAATCAAAATGTCTGTGTATAACACCTTAAACTTATACAATGTCACATTTGTATGAAAACAGAAAAGACCCCGAATAGCCAAAGGAATGTTGAAAAAGAAAACCAAAGCTAGTGGCATCACACTCCCCAACTTCAAGCTCTATTACAAAGCTGTCATCAAGATAGTGTGGTCCTGGCACACAAACAGAACCATAGATCAATGGAAGAGAATAGAGAGCCCAGATATGGACCCTCAACTCTACAATCAACTAATTTTCAACAAAGCAGGAAAGAATGTCCAGTAGAGAAAAGACAGTCTCTTCAACAAATGGTGTTGGGAAAATTGGACAGCCACATGCAGAAGAATGAAATTGGACCATTTCCTTACACCACACACAAAAATAGACTCAAATGGATGAAACACCTCAATGTGAGAAAGGAGTCCATCAAATTCTAGAGGAGAACACAGGCAGCAACCTGTGACCTTGGCTGCAGCAACTTCTTGCCAGATATGTCTCCAAAGGCAAGGGAAGCAAGGGAAAAATGAACTATTGGGACTTCATCAGGATTAAAAGCTTTTGCACAGCAAAGGAAACAGTCGACAAAACCAAAAGACAACCAACAGAATGGGAGAGGATATTTGCAAATGTATTATCCAATAAAGGGCTAGTATCTAAAATCTATGAAGAACTTACCAAACTCAACGCCCAAAGAACAAATAATCCAATCAAGAAATGGGTAGAAGGGCACCTGGGTAGCTCAGTTGGTTGAGTAACTGCCTTCGGCTCAGGTCATGATCCCAGACTTCCAGGATCGAGTCCCTCATCAAGCTCCCAGCTCCTTGGGGAGTCTGCTTCTCCCTCTGACCTTCTCCTCTCTCATGCTCTCTCTCACTCATTCTCTCTCAAATAAATAAATAAAATCTTAAAAAAAAAAAGAAAAGAAATGGGTAGAAGATATGAACAGACATGCCTGCAAAGAAGACATCCAAATGGCCAAGAGACACATGAAGAAGTGCTCCACATCACTTGGCATCGGGGAAATACAAATCAAAACCCAGTGAGATACCACCTCACACCAGCCAGAATGGCTAAAATTAACAAGTCGGAAACGACAGATGTTCACAAGGATGTGGAGAAAGGGGAACCCTCCTTTGGGAATGCAAGCTGGTACAGCCACTCTGGAAAACAGTATGGAGGTTCCTTAAAAAGTTGAAAATAGAGCTACCCTATGACCCAGCAATGGCACTACTGGGTATTTACCCTAATGATAAAAATGTAGTGATCCAAAGGGGCACATGCACCCGAATGTTTATAGCAGCAATGTCCACAATAGCCAAATTACAGAAAGAGCACAGATGTCCATCAACAGAGGAATGGATAAAGAAGGTGTGATAGACACACACACACACACACACACACACACACACACAATGGAATACTACTCAGCCATCAAAAAATAAAATCTTGCCATTTACAAAGACGTGGACAGAACTAAAGGCTAATACACTAAGCGAAATAAGTTAGAGAAAGACGATTATCATATGATCTCACTGATACGTGGAATCTAAGAAACAAAACAGAGGATCATGGGGGAAGGAAGGGAAAAATAAAAGGAAACAAAATCAGAAAGGGAGACAAACCATAAGAGACTCTTAGTCATAGGAAACAAACGGAGGGTTGCTGGAGGGGAGGGGGTGGTGGGGTGGGGTAACCAGGTGATGGACATTAAGGAGGGCACGTGATTTAAGGAGCCCTGGGTGTTATATAAGACTGATGAATCGCTGACCTCTACCTCTGAAACTAATGATACACTACATGTTAATTAATTAAATTTAAATAAAAATAAATAAAATGTGTGTAACACCTTAAACTTATACAATGTCCTCTGTGAATTAAATCTCAGTAAAACTGGAAAAAATGTGTCTGTATACACGACATAATCCTTTATGCAAACACTTGGGGAGTGGGGTGGGGAGGAGCGGGTGTGCACGGAGAGATGGCCGTGTGTGCGCATGTGTATTAGCATCTGAGCCATGTCCTGGGGCTGACTCTGAGCAAGCCCAGTTCAAATGCAGTAAGTGCCAGTGGGGTTAAGAGCAGCGGACGTGGACGTCCGTGCCCGCTGTGGGGCTGCCTGGGCATGACGGGCAGGTGAGGGAAGACCCCGCTGGCCAAACCCGTTTGCCAAGCAAAGGCCCAGGACCTGCTCCCATTCCCCCTTGTGCCGCCTGCTCCTCTCTCCTCCCAGCACCCCCAGAAGACAAAACAAGCAGCTAACGCAGCTTGTGTCCTGGGAGGTCAGAGGCAGCTAACCAAGTCATTCCTTGGCAAGGTATAAATAGCATGTCCTTTCTCCCAGAGGACTTCTATTTTAAACAGGGGCCCTCGAAGATCACAAGGGAACAAATTTCTAAAATGCTGGTTGGGGCAGGGTCCTCCTGGTGTCTGTCCCCTGAGCTGCTAAGGAAGGGGCCCTAGCCCTATGTAGGGGGGCATGCAGACCTAGGTAGAGGTGGGCGTGCAGGGGAGGGGAGGGAGAGGTGGGAGGCAGCCGCAGGGCCTGGGCCCGGGGGTCCGACCACCAGATGCAGACCCAGCCCCCACGTACCTCTGGGCCGTCAGATCCCTGGAGACCTGGCTGAGGACATCACCGTGGTGGGAAGAGGCAGCTAACAGTGGGTTTTCCAGGTCCTCAAGGGCAGCTGGATGGATGACATCATCTGCTGCATGTGACCTGGGGAGAGGAGAGGGAAAAACCAAGGCTCAGAAATGTTCCCAAAAGTTTTCAGTGTGTTTGAATAGCACATTTTATGTGGACCATGAGCAGGGCCGAAAGTGAGGGGTCTGCTGCTACTCCAAGTGCGGCCCACAGGTGGCGCTGGCCCAGGAGGGCTTTGTTAAAAGCAAAGAAACCCAGGGCAAGTTTGGAAGCCTGCAGAGCGACCTGAGAGAGTAATTTCGTCTGCTGAATCTAATAATAAAGGTCAGGATACTGCAAAACATCCTACAAGGCACAGGCCAGCCCCACCACCAAGAACTACCTGGCCCAGAACGTCAGTGGTGCTCAGGCTGAGAAACCCTGGCCACGAGTCTTGTTTCATTTTCTAGGAATTGTATTTTTTAAAGTTTTGATCTATATGCACTAAAAACTTAAAAAAAAAAATTTAAAGGGTGCCTGGGTGACTCAGTGGGTTAAGCCTCTGCCTTCAGCTCAGGTCATGATCTCAGGGTCCTGGGACCGAGCCCCATATCGGGCTCTCTGCTCTGCAGGGAGCCTGCTTCCCACCCCAACCCCCCTTCTCTCTGCCTGCCTCTCTGCCTCTCATAATCAGGTGCGTCTTACTAGTTCATCGGGGAGGACCATGAGTTTGTCTTTCTGATGAACTTGGCTCTGGGCAGTAAGTGGCAGGACGATCTCTTTCATTCCCTGAGCGGATAGCGAATGCACACAGGCTCTTAGGCTGTGAACAAGAAAGAGATGGGCCAAGCCATTGGAGTTGAGAGTCTCAGGCAAGAGTCATTTTTTTAAAACGCTTACTTATTTAGTAACAATTGTAGTAGACACTAAGAAGAACCATACCAATGGCTAAGAGCATAAACCAGGAGGTCTGGGCCAGTAGTGGGAGTAGGGAATATTTCCTTGTGGAGTGGTAAAATGAGGCCAGACAGCCAGCTTGGTGATAAGGACTACACGCCAGGAACTGTTAGTCTAAGTGCTCATAGATGTCACCACTTATGGTCCTCACAGCAGCCCTGTGAGGTGGGTACTCTCACTATCTCTTTTGATGGATATGGAAACCAAGACACAGAGAGGTTGAGTAACTTGTCCTTGGTTACACAGCTAGTAGGGGGCAGAACCAGGTTACAAACCCAAGCCTGATGCTAGGGGCCATGTTTTTAACCACCACTCTAGGATGTGTCCCAGAGGTTGAAGAGTGAGAGAAACGGAGAGTGTCTGAGGTAAGGGAAGCCACCTATCTGAAATTCCTGAACCAGGAAGGAGTTCAGCATCTGGGAGCAATGAATGCAAAAGGTCACTGTTGCAGGAGTGTGGATGATGGAGACTAGGAAGGGGAGAGGTGGACAAGAGCCAGACCCCACGGCCAGGTCAAGGGACTGGATCCTAAGCCAAGGAATTAGCCCAAAATCCGCCACAAAGTGCTGTCCTTGGCCTTGAGATGAATGAGAGGCAGGGAGGCCTAGGCTGAGTTTCCTGAAACTACGTTTTAAGTATGAGTAGACCAGCCCATGCCCGCACCCACCCCTTATTATTCATCCCCATGGACCCTGTGATGCTCCCTTCCTCCTCCATTGTTCCTATCCACCATTCCAAATCCCCCAGAACAGGATCCCAGAGCCCTGGGACCATGCCCACGGAATCCGAGAGAAATGGGTACAAGGGAAAAGAAGGAAGGAGCCTGCCCGGGGAGGAATCCTCAGCTACAGACACTAGCAACTTTCCAAAGTCATAAAAAAACCCGAGTGGAAAAACATTACCCAGGAGCTTTGGCAGCACACACTGAGAGCCATAAAAGACTTTGTTTCCTTCAACACAGTCGTCGTACTTCCAAGAATTTATTTTAAGGAGATGATTCAGGGTATGAACAAAGATGCTGATCATAACTGTGACCATCATAGCAAAAAAACAAAACAAAACAAAAAAACTAGAAACAACCAAAATGTCCTCCAGTAGGGGACAGCTGATCACATGAAGGCACAGCTACAGAATGGGCTTGTTAGCAGGTATTTAAAAAGATGAAGGTAGATCTCCGTATACCTACAGGTAAATGTATCCATTGTTAACTAAAAAGAGGTTTTAAAACTATCAGGGGCATGACCCACATTCATGTGCGTGTGTGTACTGAGGTCTGTGAGCATGTACATATATACGTACACGTACGTATAAACACACGTGCAGGAAGTGTGCAACCGAATCAACGAGTACCCAGCAGTGAGGGAGGATGTGTGCCAAGGTGTGAACAGTAATTCTCCTTCAGTAGTGAACTTATGAGTGTTTTCCTAAAAGATTTTATTTTTACACAATCTCTACGCCCAACGTGGGGCTCGAACTCACAACCCAGAGATCGAGTCGTCTGCTCCACCCACCAAGCCAGCCAGGCATCCCATGAGTGTTTTCTCCTGTTGGATTTATCTCTGTTTTCTAGTTGGGTGCTGACCATGCCCTGGTGTTATAAGCAAAATAAATAAGAAAGCATACATAAGGACAATTTTAAGTGACAGGGAACAACTTCAGTTTGTACAAAACTCAGGGAAAGTTTTCAGAGATGGGATAATCGCAGGAAAGCCCACTTTTGTATTCACATTTTCCATGGGGAGGACCCAGACTTGTCCCGCTCGTCCCGTCCTGAGGCAGAAGTGCAGCCACACCTGACTCATCAGGCACTACCCGGACAAGGACAGTCCCAGGGGAGGATCTGGGGAGGAACAGATACGGCCTGCGTAGTCTACAGGGTGGCTTTTTTATTTTAACTCTTTGGGAGGAATTATGTCTGAAAGCACATCGGACACTTCTCTGAATTTTCTTTCTTTCTTTTTTTTTTAGGATTATTTATTTATTTATTTGACAGATCACAAGTAGGCAGAGAGGCAGGCAGAGAGAGGGGGGGAGCAGGCTCCCTGCTGAGCAGAGAGCCTGATGCGGGGCTCAATCCCAGGACCCTGAAATCATGACCTGAGCTGAAGGCAGAGGCTTTAACCCACTGAGCCACCCAGGCGCCCCTTCTCTGGATTTTCTGAACAGAGAATCTTGAACACAATGAAATGTTTTCTCAACGAAACACAATCAGCATCTTGAGTAACTATGACGTAAGTGACCAAGTATGCTATGGCACTAAAACCACAATTGTCCATGAAGTCGAGAGGGCGGGGCTCTGGACAGGCCCCACCTTGACATTTCAGTCAGGTGACTTTTCCGTCTGTGAAAGCAAAGGCACTAGACTGCACGGTCCCCAAGGATCCCCCCAACTGAGTCTCGCCCCGCACTCGGAGGCTGTCGGCCACCACCTCTGCTCACTCACCTGCCTCTTCTCTACTTTGGGCCTTCAGTTCTCTGCTTCTCTTGCACAGACTAAGACACGGGGCTGAGGGTGTTTAGAATAGTGCGTAAACCAAGAGTTACTAAGCACAGATAAAGGTTTATAAACCATACATCATTATAATAATTTTAAAATATAAGTGTATGTGTATATATACACATATTAGCTTGAACCACTTGAAACTGCTTAAAAAAAATTATCAAATTCACACTGTACCAGCAGCTCTAAGGCCTTTTTGTCTCACTTCCTAGTGACCCAGCTATGTTCCCGATGGCTAAGAATGGGGCAAAGCTGACTTCTGGGTCAGTGGAGGGATTCCTACAAAGCAGCTCTTCTCGGGCCAACTGTAAGAGGCTATAAATGGCTTCTAAATTCTACCAGTGCTGGTGCTCAGACTAGAGTGACTGAAATATTTTTCAGAGGGGACAAAAAAAAACCTGTCCAAGATTTTAACCACCAGCTGCTGCCGCCAGCTGCCAGGACCAGCCCGCTGTAAATTTCGCCAGGCCAGCAAAGGGTTGATTTTCCACTGGAATGTCAGGGAGGGACCTTTGCATCAACAAGTGCTTCTCCAAAGGGCCATGAGTCACCCTCCCCTCAGAGAAGGAGGAGGGAGGGTCTGGCTTCAGAAAGGAAAGCAGTCGCACTCTGGTCTAAAAAGCCAGCACCTCGGCTCTACACACAGGCTCTGTGTCCCAGAAGGGCCCCAGGGGGAAAGTCAGGAGAGTCACTGATAGTAATCGTGACTGACACCAATAATGAGAATGGGAGGACAGTCTGGGAGGTGAGGGACGTGTTTACACCTTGTTGGCGAAGAGGGTGTCACAGGTGTGCACCCAGCTCCAAACTCGTGGAGCTGCAGACAGGCACTAGGTACAGCTTTTATTCAATCACACCTCAGTACAGTGGTCTGAAAAAGGAAGGGGACCGCACAGTCCAGGGCTGACAGGCCGGTCAACAGCACAGCGGGTTCAAAGTCTAAAGTAAGGAGAACAACCTGCCATAGAAAAACAGGGTTCTCTAGGCAGGGCTGTCTGGAAAGGCCCCTGAGGGCTAGGGCAAGCCAAGAGTTTGACAGACCCATGAATGCAAGGAGCTTTCCAGATTAAAACAAAACCTTCACCCCCCTCTTTCTCTGATGGTTCAGATGGAAAGCCACTAGGCTTCCCTTCCCTTCCCGTGAACAGGGCAAGGAAGGTCACAGAAGGGACAGAGGCTGCCCCTGTGTTACCCACAGGGAGGGCAACAGAGAAACAGCCCTGTCAAGGGTGATGGGAGACAGGTGCCCCCCCCCAGTCAGAGGATTTGCTTATATAAAAGGTGATTAGGCTCCAAAGCACTCCCAGAGCTGTGTTGCAGTCTGAGGTGTGTGAAAACCAGAGCTAGGTGTAGGGGTGAGTGTGTGCGCACATAAACGTCCACTTCCCAGCTCCCTCTGCAGAGAGAGGTCAGTCAAAAGGACATTAAAAATTACCTCAGGGGCACCTGGGTGGCTCAGTAACCAAGGGTCTGCGTTCAGCTCGGGTCACAACCTCAGGGTCCTGGGATGGAGCCCAGCATCGGGCTCCCTGCTCCGAGGGAAGCCTGCTTCTCCCTCTCCCACTGCTTGTGTTCCCTCTCTCACGGTCTCTCTCTCTCTCTCTTTGTCAAATAAATAAATAAAATCTTAAAAAAAAAT